CTACTGAGGCGGATACCGGTACTTATACCGGTGGGCAATGGTCTGGCCTCAATGCTGCGAGGCCAGGCCAGACCCTGAACCGTCCAGATGGACGGTTCAGCCTCAATCGGCGGGCGACAGCTTCAAGAGCGCCGCCAGGCCCAAACRAAGTGTCGTTTGGGCCTACCCGATGGGTGATAGTCCAAAATCAGGCCTTTAGGACCTGTAAACCCCAAAGGTCGGGCCTTTAGGCCCTGGTGTGTCCCTCCGGCCCTAAGTCAGGTCCGGTAGGACCCGTGTGAGTCGAAGATGTAACAATGAAGCTGCGATTCTGGCCCAGGGCCTGCATTTCAGAAAAGGCCTGGAGGTCGTGGAATATCTTTGCTGCTTGGCCTGTGTTTCCCTCAACCAACTGGCGCGTCACAACTGCCTGGACCCCAAATACGAAATCGGTAGCAATGGGCCTCTTTAGGCCCGCCTTCACTTAGGGCGGGCACATCTGTATCCGGGGCCCCTTAGGCCTGCCGGGGACCCAGATCCTCAACAGTGCAAAACGCAAAGAAAGACTGCCATTCAGTTGGAACTGAAATGAAACAGACTGGAGAGGGAAATAGACAAAGGGAGGAAGAAGAAATGAGAATGGAAGACGAAGAAGAAGATGACCACAAGCAAGAACCAATGTCACTCCCTCGTCATCTTGCCACACTCTCCAGTAACAATAAAAATGAACGAATGGACTAGAATCCATGTCTGAATCCTTCACTTACTGCTGGCCACTCAGTAAGTTCATCATAGCTGGTGGCTATGGCGGACCGTCAGAGCCTGCCCCAACATTTGAAGGACAACGCAAGGCTACCATTGCTCTCCCACTATAGACGCCATGCCACATTCCACCCCTGGAGTCTTCCCTCCAAGTATCACCCCTTTCAGGGTCTACCAGGTGCAGCGCCAACCAAGAAGATGAAGATGCAGACACCATAGCCAAGGTAAGCTCTCTTCATCACTTCCTCCTCTTCCCTCCTCCTTGTCCCTCAGTAGCCATGTCTTCTCTTTTCTCCACCTTGGTCCCCTCCACCGTAGCCGAGGCGCAGGCCAAGCTCCGCCTACTTCCTCCAACCAGCGCCTCACCCAACTGGTGAGCGCCTTCAGCAGTCTCACAGCTTGCAAATGGGAGAATGACGTGGAGTGCCAGTTGCCTCTTCACTTATAGTGCAGCCACGCTCCACCACGAGACTTTCTAGGGTACCCGGCTCTCGGCCTAATGGTTGGCTCCCCGCATTTGGCACGAAGATCCTTGAGTCTGATATCCTACTTTGCAGGACCTAGCGTACTGGACTGGTACCTACCCCTAAGCCCACCAGACTCTAAAATGCTAGTTTGGCCTACTCAAGGTATGGCAAGTATTCAGATCAGACACACTTCCACACGGCAGACATAGCAAATCAGCAGCGCACGGAAATCTCAGCAAACCAGTCCAGCTTGCAGCAATTTTTTAAGACCAGCAGATTTCTGAGTCTGCAATTTTGCAGGTTACCCCCCTCCCTGTAAAAGCAAGGTCCCTTCGAGGGAGTCCTGCAAAGTGCATCTTAAGCAGAGAATACAAAAGAGCTGTCATCTGTTCATGCGGGGTGAGATGCTCATCACGCTCCTATGCTTTTACTACGTGAGGTGCAGTCTCGCAAGAGATCCGTTAAGAGTTCGTCAAAAGGATGATACAGGAAATGCACTTGACACCGTCTATCCCGTCCTTCGCCTTTTCTAGTACAGATGCTAACAACTTCATATCCGTCGTCCATATTGCAAGGGATCATAGGTTCATGATCAGGAAAGGAAGTAGAAGCAGTGTAAAGATACTTTTGGGTCACATGAAGGACTGGATACGTGTACAGATGAGGCGGCACGTCAACCACATAGGAAGGCCCAAAGTTAGCTTCTCCTACGAGCTTCAGAATTTGCCAAGGTTCTTAGTAGCTTGTGAGATACGCCTTCCTCATCCAAAAACTCAGACATTTCAGCCCAAACGTAGTCTCCTTCTTTGAATGTTGCAGGCCTGTGTCACACACACACACACACACACACACACACACACACACACACACACACACACACACGAACACAATAAAATAAGAAGGAAAAAGAAAGCACGGTTTCTCACCACGCATCCTGACCACGTGGTGCAATTTCGCGTCTTCAACCCGCAACCCCCTTCCGGCAACTTCCCTCTAGCTTCCCCCT